TGGATATGTAGCAATAGCGTAATTTACAAATTGCTCCTTTAATATATAGCAAGCAGTGATTTAAAACAGTGATTTATGCAGCACTGTAAATATTAGTCAATTTAATCAGTTGGTTTATCGAGAGAAAATTAACTTTCACTTCTCCCAGTATCCCAGATGTGAGCATTTGCTGCTTTTCTGTGCTTTATGCTTTTACATGAAATATATATTTGGGTTTAGGATTCCTTAGTTAAACAAAACAGTTGATTCTGAAGACTGAGACATTTTAATGGACATTTCTTAATGCTCAAGAGCAAAAGGCATTTTATGTCACAAGTCAACACAAGACAGGCAGCGGAGCAGCACACCTGTTTAGCATATTGACAAATATTGATTGCTTGTCTAGGCATCACCATTGAGATTATTGCAGAGGAATGTTGGACAGATAGAAGTAATTGGCCATAAATTCCCTTCAGATGTAACAGGGTTGGTTAATTAGCAGCATGTGATGAAACCAAGATCAAAGGTAAAGCAGTGAAAGCAGGTTGTAATTTGGTCGCTGCAGTTTTCTGCAATGATGAAATAGTGCACAAGAGGAGAAAGGGCTTCCACTGGAAATGCAGACACAGCATGTTTCCCCCATCTCTTCTCTTTTGTGCTATGTGACATCAGATGAAATGCTCCACTAAGTCTTAATTTAGGTGGATGTTCGGAGGCCTTAATCTCACTCTGTACATGGGTGTGCGTGTCTGTGAGTATGCTGCGAGGTAAAGTCTTCCCTTTGCTCTAATCCACCTATTTTGTTTCGGTCCACTGTTCAGAATCAAGGTGGAAAAGTGCCGAGACTGCAACGTTTTGCCTTCTCAGTCTGTCTGGCCCACACTGCTTTACCTGCTGAGCCCAGAGACTCACCAAGCCTGAAGGACTCTGTTGCTTTAACCCTGTCCCTAAGCATGTCCCTGGCCAGCACAAAAGCCATCTGGGGTGCAGCTGAGAGCTTTAGCAACAAAATAACTCTTTCAATCTGCACTCTGCATGGTTCTGACTGCAGGGCGTTGAGGTCGCCAATACCAAGACTCTTACCGGACCTCCTCCTCTTTCTCCTCCACCCTTCTAATCCTGGCCTACATGACTGACTCCAACTGAAAGCCCCACACGCCAGAGGTGGGAGCCAAAAGCACTGTGAGATTCAAAAAAGACCACCTGCTCATCAAACTAAATTGCACTCACTGAAGGCAATGGGGAATAGAATAGAGAGAATGAAAAGGAGGGGAGCAAGAGGGAAAAAAAAATGAGTAAGAATAAAAAGAAAGACAAGTCACCGCTCTCCCTCTGTGATCTTGGCAGACAAAAGAACAAATTGCATTTCTGCGTCATGGCACCCGAGGGTCAAAATCGGCAAAGGCTCCCACTCAATGCTGTTTGTGGGTGAGCATGTTGATATAGGTTCCATCAGTTCCCACAAGAGAGCCAGAGAGGTGCACAGGCCTACCTTTAAGCCTTTCATCTTGGCTTCTTTTGTATTCCGCTACACTTGTGTCTGTTGTCTCTCTCCTCTATTGGGCAGAATTGACTGTTATTATTCCAAACAGCATTATCTTTATTAATGCCACAGGTCTCAGGACTGTGCACTCCCTGGGAGCCGGGTCTGGACAGAGCTGCAACCAATCTCCCTAGATAAAAGCTCAGTGGAGAGCTGTATGCAAGCCAGACAGCTTGGACAGGCCTTCATCCTCCCTCCTCATTCTCAGAGAGAGGTATAGTCCCTACAAAGACTAAGATATGGCTTTAATCTTAGCACTTTGAGTCAGACAGAAACATTTGAACCCGGAGCACCTCTCTGCAAGGCTATCAGAAGTCACTTGGGGTTGTTAGCCACTAGTCAGAACAAACAATCTGTATTATTAGCAAATACATTTATATAATATTTGAAAAGTGCAAAAAGAAAATCATCCATAATGAAAAAGTTTCTAAAACCTGGAAACTGAAGGAAAGGTTTTGGACTCATGTACAAACTGTTCAGGTTATAAATCATGAACACTATATCGTGTGGTGCTAAAGTTTATGGGGTTGCCCTCCATCTCTACCGCGGCTTATCCTGTCGGTGGCTCATATGTACCTGGAGCCGAGGCTGTTTCCCAAAGTCGGCCATGTGTGACGAGTTATTTTAAAGGTGGTGTGGAGAGCTGACGTGTGGCCAGGCCAGGGCAGGGCAGCGGCTGGGGTCTCGGCTTAGTGCCTCAAGCCCCTCGCTCCAGTGGTCACACAGCATCAGCTCCCGGCCCGAGCCCGGACACTGATTTATGGGACAGGGGGATTACCATCAAACCAGCCGTGAGGACCACCCAGATGGTGGCACAGGATGACAGCCGTGCAAACACACACAAGCACGCACGCACGCACGCACACACGCAGGCACACAAATTCAGATATACTTATGCATTCACGCATGCACCTATAGATATTCACATAAATCCATACACTTAAACAAATAATGACTTTAAAAGGCAAATAAAAATCTTGCTATTTAAGATGTTAAATATTAAAGATGCAACTTTCTGGAGATAACCAAGCATGAAAAGCCGCACATGCAATTTGTAACGGCTCTGTTAAACAGTCAAGTGCAGTGGGAGGGATTAGTTCGCTGAGGTTTCCTCATTACCACCAACGCGAGGGAGGCAGCTTTGCTCATCAGACTTCATATGTATCTACAGGATGTGCCAGGTTAGAAGTAATTCCACTCAATCACATCATACTATTTCTTTTTTTTTTCCCCTCACTTAACTTTGCATAATGCATAATTGAAGACTGATGACTTGTGTAATTTTCTATCTGAAGTGACTCAGGTCCAAAACAAGAGCCTTCCATGCAGTTTAACATGGGGAGCAGAAGCCAGGCTCCGACTCTGGCTTCTATCAAAACTTTTTGTAAATTCTCTGAAATGGGTGCCATTCAGCTTGATCACAATGTTTAATAATTCACTTTCCACTTTTCTCGATGCAGGTCTGGATGCCTCTCGTTTTCACTCCGAATGCTTTTACCATCCTTAATACTTTTCCACCAAGTCACATTTTCATCCAAGAGCATGTGCAAATACACTGAGCAAAAGAGGAAAAAAAAAAAAAAAGGAAGAAAAAGCACATATTTCTCACTTGCCAGGGCACAGCACAACTCAACCTCAAGGCTCCAGTCTGATGAGCCGAACAATAAGAGTCAATGACATATCGGACGCAGTGCATTCCTTGGGCAAACACTCACCTCATAAAAGGGAGACAGGTAGGCAAACACTCACCTGCCCTAAGCTAATAACACATGTGGAGGCAAACACACAAACACACACACACACACACACACACACACACACACACACACACACACACACACACACACACACACACACACACACACACACGCTTGAGCTTGTCGATACATTGAGACAATGATGGGAATTAGATTGCGCAAAACTGTGGTAGCGTAAAAATAGGACCGGATTTGTTCAGGAAAAAAAAAAAAAAAAAAAACATCTCAGAGAGACACATGTAGCATTTTTCATAACAAAAATCATCATACCACAGGAGAATGCAAGAGATTTGTGTTTACTTGTCCTGTATTAATGTGCTATGTGATATATGACTGGCACGCTCTGTTTACGGTTTCTCTTAATCATTGCCCAGCAAAAATAAACAGATATAGGATGATTTTAACCGAGGGCATCACGGAGGATTTCGTCGCTTACACAGAATATGTTTTATAATAAATTTCACATTATAAACCACATGTAGGTCAGGGCCCAAGAGCATGAGTTAGCCTCCTCATAACTTGTGTCTACGTGTGGATGGGCATTTCTGACTGTGTAACACTGCGTGCTTGTGTGTGTGTCAGGAACTCATTGATGACTGTACGCACTTTCCTACCAAACAAATCACACACATTTTCCCCAAAGGCTCTTCATTGCCAGCAGAGGAAAGCAAAGCCTCAGTGGGACGCACCCTCAGCACTTCCTGACCATGTGACTCCCTCCAGCTGCCTTTTGATTGGCTGCTCAGAGGCGGAGAAGATGAAGACAAGGAGGGGTGGAGGGGAGGGGAGGGGTGGGTGAGTGGTGGTGGTGGAGGGCAGCAGGGAGCTGGCTGGCAGCGGACACATGAGAGAAAACAAATTCCTGCCCCATTGCCATGGAGATGAGTCAACAGCAGGTCGGGGGAGAGCAGAGCGGGCCGGGGGTTGTGGGGCACAGGCTGACCTGCTGTAGTTAACAATTCATCCCCGTATCCGGCTCCCAAATGATTGGGCAAACACGGAGTGCTGCGGAGTCAAAAGGGCCCTGAGGGTCTGAGAGAGGGGCATCACCCTGGGGTGACACGCTGACAGGCACACACTGGTTGGTAGAGGGTGGACCAGCTGAAAGCCCCAGTAAGGGATAGGGGGCACTAGTGGGGGAGGGAGGGAGGGGGGGGGGGGGGATGGGCGGGGCATGATTGGATGTGGAGAGTGGCTAAGTACATTGAGTACCACAGGCTCCAGCACAGTCACGACACAGTATTGATGGCTGTGGCTTTGTGAAGCAGTGTAATTAAATGATTTGTGTTAAGATGCCACTTTGAGGATGAGAACAATCTCTTCAAGCACACCACAACAAACGTCACCCAGTACATTCTGTTTGAATTCTTCATTTTAAGCTAAATTGTTAACGACATTTGGCCACGAGTTGTGCCAACAGTAAAATAGGAGTTGCATCAGTTTTATAAGCCGAAAACCACAGTAACACTATAACTCTCTGGCGTGTGTCCACTTTGTTACATAGATAGAACGTTTAGCACATCTGGACGAGCCACAAGAGCTGCAAAGCAAAACACTACGGAACAAAATAACCTTAGAGATAAGGACATAACATGACCTTAAGACAACTTAGCTAGCCCCTGTGCTTCATAGCAGAGGTTTTGTAGGCGGGAATTTTAATACTGAAACACTACAGGCAAACTGAGAATATTTGCAGTGTCTTTAGAAACATTTATACTCACCAGAAGATCCCTGAGAAGCAATTAAAGGTTGACATCTTATTCTAGGAATTTGGATTCCTTCACTGAAAAAAAGAAGAGAAAAAAAAAAATCAAAAGAGGACAAACGTCACTTCACACACTGAAAATATAGTATTCCATTGCTATATCTGCTTAACTCTTCACTCTCCATTTGTTCAGCTGGGTTCATTTAGGTGAAACTGTGTTGGAGCATGTAATATGAGGTACAAATGGAAAATGGTTCAAAGCCTCAGCCCACAGGACCAGGATCCAAAACAGTGACCACTTTACAGTGAAGCAGAGCGCCGCTTGACAATAATGGGTCAGAGGCAGAAATAACAGACGGCCGACGGGTGGATCACATCAGTGTCACATCATACAGAAGAAGAACCACAAGGCTTCAATACAGTACTTATAAAAGGCTAGACTTTACGTCGTGTTAGGTTTTGTCTCAGTCAGCACAAGTTGTCATATGTAACTTTATGCACTGTCACGGCTTGGTCTCCTCCCCGGCCTGGCAAACCAAATCCCATTATCTAATTGGCCATCTAACTTTGAAGGGCTGAAATGCCACCATTACAACAGACCTTTCACTGGGCAGCGGTGTGAGGAGGGTGTGTTAGCAGAGAGGACCTGTTACTGGTTCTCTGCTGCTACTCGCGTCAGAGCAGAGTTTTCACAAACACTGCTGAAGCATGTTCTTCCTTTAGTGGGAATCAGGATACTGTCTATAATAATCCACCCAACAAATCTTACAAATGAAAAGCAGGACCGCATCATTTATAGTGCGTCTGTCAGAAAAAGAGAGGAGAGAAAGGACAAAAACAAGGGAAAAAGTAGGATTATGATAAAAATACCAGATGTTAAGAGTCACTTCTCGAAAGGTGTGTCATTCAGGGAGTTTGGGACGAACTCCTGGCCAGCGGCTGAGCTCTAAATTTAGCATATTTACTAAAATAAAAAGTGAGTTCAGTCACTGGCACTGGAACGTTCTCCTCCCCATTCATGACCTCAGTGGTGCAGCCGGCGTCACTCATGACGAAATACTAACCATATAAAACAACAAAAAAAGACCTCCTCAAATACTCGGAGTACATAAGGAAACAACCACAATTTAATGTTCCCTGTAAACGATCCTATTATGGCACTCCAAGTCCAAATCAACAGAAAAATTTGGTTTTTCACGTTCTAATTTTAGAACAGAGTTTGAGCATAAATGACCTTTTACATAACAGACTTAAACAGAGCACAGTCTCTAGTTTAATATTAAGAAATTGAATTAATAGACACGAAACTAAAGCCTTTTACTTAAGTTCCTATTCATGTATACAGGGCTGTGTGTACATGAAGTGAAGAAAGGCTGTATGACACATGTATGAAGCTACTGTGTTTGTTTACTGTATCCATACATGCCGGGGATGAGCCTGTGTGTGGCAGGCTGGGGAAGATGCCCCTGGGCCAGGCTGAGGAGTAAGTGAAGCAGAAGTCCCATCTAAGCTCAAAAGCATGCAAGTAACAGGCCTGTAACTAAAACACAAGCATAAACACAGGCGATGTTAGGGATTACACCCTGAAATACCGCCGCAGGAAACCACAGACAGCACAGGTGTAACCGTGACACGGCCACGGATGCATTCTTCCCCATCTCCGCTCTGCCGGTGGAGGTCTGACTGACAGCTCATCATTTAGCGTTGTTGGCTGTGTGAAACTTGTGTAAACATCTGCAGGCGTTTGTATGTCTGTGTGTGGGTGTGGGTGTGTGTGTGTGTGTGTGTGTGTGTGTGTGTGTGTGTGTGTGTGTGGAGTGGGAGCCACAGGTGAGGAGGACACACATACACACACAGAGGGATTACAATGGCCTAAAGTCATATTGAAGATGCCTCGCAGCACAATACCACACATTCTTTCAGCAACTGTAAAATCTTTCCTTCCAGAAATCGACGTCTTATTTATTATATTTTTGTCTCACTTTCCCTCTAGAGATGACTCTGAGCTCATCCTCCAATCTTGAATGTATATTTGCCAATGACGACAAATCAAAAAGCTGCACAGAAACATTTAGATTTTCTTTGCACTGTTTTTGAAGCTTGACGTTTGTCAGACAGCAAAAAGATGAAGATTTAGTGAAAGCAGCAGGGAGGAAACGGATAGGCGAGCACATTTCCTCAGTAAACAGCTCCCTCTAGAGCAACACAAAACATTCAATCCTGAACCTCACTCCCATTGTTGCCGACTACCTCTGTATAATAAAATAAATATATAATTAAATGCCAAAAATCTTGTCAGTTCTTTCAGTTTTCAATTCAAAAAATCAGACTAGCACACAGGCTTATGTTTTTTTCAGTTTTTTTTTTTAAAGAAACAAATATGCAGGTTCTCTTGTTCTCTGGCTTATTTGTGAGCCACATTACAGAGGTGAGGCTGAACCACTCATTTTCCCAGTGTGAGTTGATAATGAGGCAGGCCGTTATTAAGATGTTTGCTTTAATCGTGTGCAGGGTTATTAGGGGCGGTTTACAGTACACAAGAGAGATTAAGGTAGGCCACGCATGACGGAAAGAGCTGAGGAGGCCAACGATAAGCCAGCTACCCACAACTGTGAAGCGGGCTGAGAAATATGAGCTCACAGTAGGACATGAAACCCAGCAAGACAAACCTCTTTCTCTCTCTCTCTCTCTCTTCCTTTCTCTCCTTCTGTCTTATTCTCGCTCTCTGTTCGCCTCAAATCATGTTACACAACCACAAAGAAACGCCTTGTACATCAGAGACTGATTTAAAACAAGTGGAAAAGAAAAGTAAAGAGAGGATCACAGAGGGGTCTGCACAGGCAGTAGGTGTTTGGTTCCTTTATACTTGTAGAAAAAGGACAACATGGCAGCGCGCTTGGTAGTAATGTAAAGACGCACTGCAGTGACACACAAGCCCAGACACATGCACGCCTAACTACTTCACACATGCTTACATAAACTAAATCAGCTCGAGACGCACACAATTCTCCGCACCAACCGGGGAGCACTACACATTTCCCCTTACATTTTTTCCATGCCATTAATAAAACTAGACATCGTACTGTTTCAATACGTTTTGTTGGAATTCAGGGAGCACTTGAAAATCCATCATTTTATGAGTTTTCAAACTTTCCCACAGAATTCTCACCATTTTTCCATGCATTTCACCCACACACATTAAAAGTAGCACTCAATTAGGCCGGCACACGGAGCCTGGAGTGGAATGGTGCACTCATATGCTACTTAGACATGACATATAGCACCCACCACCCAAGTTTATGAGGCCTGTGTTGCATTAAGAAATGTGATTCATTAACTACAATCAAAAGATTCTTATTTTTGATATTTTGAGGAACCATTAAAGCCGTGAGCTGAGAGTAAAACTGAGCCAAACTGTACGAGGTGGATCCACACACGCTCACATAATTCACCTGCAAACGCTAAAGGACCTTAATATGAAACAAAACTTAGATTCGGTTTGCATCAACATCATGCGCGTCATTGTTTTTTTTATTTTTTTTCTATTGTCTATTCAGCTGCACAACAAATAAACCACAAAAATCCGAGATTAAAATGAAACATTTTTACACATCCTTTGGCACCGCGCGGCTCGACTGCATTAGTAAAAGGTGTGTGTGTGTTTGTCTATGTGTGTATCAAGTTAGCAGAAGGTCAGAGTGGTGAAGTATTAGAGCACTGTTTGCTCTCCTCCATGTACTCTTGGGGACCAGCCTGTTTGAGAGTTTGAACAGTGACGTGTGAAACCCGTAAAAACAGGACATAGCGCCGCTCTGTTTGCTTAAGAACACCCAAAGAATGGAGTGCCATTACAAAACAAATCCCTCAGCCTACATTCCTCCTGTCCATCAAACCCTACCTGTTGAACAAGATATCAAACAAACTGGAAGAGGTAGTTACAAGAAGATCTACTTCATGGTGTGATGACTTGCAATTTGTTAAAATGTCAGCTCTGTGACCTTCATGTCTGACCTGCAGAAAGAGGCATGCATCCACAGGTTTGGAAGAGCTTTTTGTCCAGTAAATAGATACAAGTGCACGTTAATACAGAGACGTTTACAATATGTGCTAAGGGGGAACACAGTATCTCCCTCTGGACCTTCTTTATTATATCCAAAACCAATGAAACTTGATGCACCTCTTTTTATTTTTTAGAGTTGAATCCTTAATCCTTATTCCAGTGTCTGGAGCATGAGGATTTGGTGCTTTTGTAAAAAAAAACGAATAACTTTAGGATATGGAATTTTTGGTCGGACAAAATGAGTGGTTTAAAAAGTGCCACCTTGAGGTCTGGGAAATCTGAATTTTCTGGCATTTTAAAGACTAAATTACATTAATGAAATTAAATCACTTCAAAGAAAAAATAATCAGTATATTAATTGATCATAAAATTATTCATTAACTGCAACTTTAGTGATTTATACTTTCAATGCACACTGTCGTATAGTCACAGTGCCTCAATATCTCATGCAAGATTATTTTCCCTGTGAATGTAACATTCTGAAACATCACGGGCAACAGACAGTTTAATAATGGTGCCTTTTTTCTGCCTTCTGTCCAGCATCTGTTATAAGAAACATTTTAATGATGTTTTCGGCAGAGATTCCGGACTTGCTCTTATGTAACATGTGATTAAACCCACGAAAACAAGCTGATGGATCCCATAGTAAAGCCGGGGTGACACTGGTTGGAAATCCATCAACTGGAACACATGAAAAGAGGGAGAGAGGCACCACGAGATTGCAGCACCCTCCCCTCTGCTCCCTGCCATCATCCTCGTATCAGAGGAGCCATTGGGAGAACTGGATGTGATTTGTATGTGTGTTTTTGAAGAGGGGTGCTCATAAACAGCCATGAAAGGGGCCCCTCTATTCAGCCTGCCAGCAGAGATGCGCTTCACTGGGCCGGCCTTTTGTTTTCCCCTCTTCACAAAACCTTAAGCACAGAAAAAAAAAAGGGGTTGATTCCCTCGATGTGTGCAGGCCCAAATGATGCCATTAGATTGGTGCCCGCTTTGGGTGAAAAAGGCTTCAGCAGCG